CAGAGATCCGCCGGCCATCCGGATTTATCGCGGGTCCGACGACGAGATCCACCTTCGCGATGCCGGGTCGGTCGGCCAGGGCGAGAAAGAGGAAACGCCGCGAGAGGGAAAAAGAAAGAAAAAAGAAAGAGAAAAAGAGAGAGAGAGAGAAAGAGAGAGAAGGGGGAAGAGATGGGAGAGAAAGAGAGAGAGACTTGAAGTTTCTGCGGCGTTGCGTCGGGTCATAAACGCGCGCGAGGCGTATCATCCGCTCGGCTCCCCAAACAATCCCGCGTGCCCATCTCGCCGGCGATAGCGCATCTAGCCGCGGCTCTTTCTGCGCGAAAATGCCGCGTAATGAATATCATAGGCCTGGGCGGGGGAGGGTGTCGGGGGTGTTATTCGCCGTTTAGCGGCGATGATGCGAGCGATCATGCGTGCGCGATCGCGCGTCGATAGGATAGTTTAACGTCAGTATTTACAGCGCTCTCTCTCTCTCTCTCTCTCTCTCTCGCTCATGCGCGCACACGCAGCCGAGAGATTGATAGCGTCACCGTGCATTGCGCGGCGGTTTCGGACCCCGAGAGTGTACGTTAAGTGTTACACGAATTGCAATCACGCAACAGATTGTTTCGCGAACACTTCCGCGGCTCTCTCGCGAATCCTCTCGTCGCGAGCTGCGTGAGCGGCCGTAAGTGCAGCGTGTGCACGTGTGTCATAAATCCGCCCGAGGGTCACGCGGATTCCGATCGCGACGAGTGTTTGGAATTACCGGTGTTAGCGAGCCGACGTTGCGACGGGGATTGATTGTTACGGAATCGCGCGATATCGGGGAGGTGTATCGATCAATCTCGATGCCGGAAGGCCGAACTTGCGGATCCGAGAGCGCGACGGATTAATAGCGGGCCGGATGAGACAATATCGCGGAATATGACGACGTTGGAACACATTCATTTGCGCGCGTGAGAACCGCGCGGATAACAATGTAACAGCGAGATATTGATAAAAATTGCCGATGAACGGCGAAATCGTGATACTCGTATCACACGGCGCGACACACCGTGACGATCGATATCGCGCGACGACGTGAGTGTCGATCGATTTCGTTTCCTTTGTCGTGACGGTCGACTCTCTCTCTCTTTCTCTCCCCTCCCCCCGTTTCTTCACTCTTTTGTTTCTCACGAGCGCTATGTCGGCCCGAGTACCGTTATAATTGCACTTCGCCAGACTACGTAGTGACTCAGAAATGCGGCATTGATCGGCGCCAATCGTGTACGACATACTTAAAATTCCAGAGAAACGGGACACGAGTGCGGGTAAAAAGTCACGATAGAGAAAGAAAGAGAAAGAGAGAGGGAAGAAAAAAGGAAAGAGGCCAACAAGGATCAGCTGGGGAGGGTGGAGAAGGACAAGCGAAGGGAGACTACGAGGGAGCAAGGACCAGATATACTCATCGCTCGCGTCCTTCTTCCTGATCCCTCGCCTCCCCTCCTCCCTCAGGAGCCTCATCCATCAGTCACTTAATATTTCAAAGCAGCGCCCTGCGCAACATCCTCCCTCGCGTTCTTCCTCGCCCCTGATCCGCCAACACGCGAACGTCGTGAGCTTGTGTCGTCCTTTTAAAAAGCTTAAAACACCAGCGCACCCGCCACCCCTACCGCCATCAACACCACTCAGGACCCGGAGGAAAGTTTTTCGACTTTGCTGAGGGACATTAGAGAATGCGGAGTCGTGCGGCGCGCTCCTAACGTGACGGCGACGATGTGGGAGGGGAGGACGAAGTGATGTCTCGCGTCGATTTCGTGGGGAGAAACCTCGCGGGGCATACAGCCCCCGCCACTACCCCCGACCCTCGTCCACCCACCTTCTATCCGCCCGCCGCCACCGCCGCTCGAAATTCAAATTTCTCGTTTCACGCGACCGAATGGGATTCTTCCCTTCTCTTGTGAGCACCTGCCCGAGTATACGCACCACAGTCGGAGTCGAGATCGATTCGCTCCGCGTCTCGTAAGGAGGGCGGCAAGGGTGCGCAGGGGAGGACGGTGTTCGCGGAGATAAAAGCCGTTGTTGTTTCTTTTCCCTTATCGCCCGACGGCTGAAACGCGACTGGATTGCCCGGACCAACTCGCGAAGGATAAGCTCCATCGAGGAATGTAATTTCGAGCGTATATTCATACGGAACGTCGAGAGTAACTTTCGAAAAGAGTGACCATCAACAGTCGTATCCGAGGAGCGGCAAAATTCTCGAGTGTCTCTCTGAAAGGGAGAGAAAGAAAAAGGAAGAGGGAGAGGGAAAGAGAGATAGACAACTATTTTTATTTTCGTTTTAGAACACAACACTCTAAGAACATTTACAATAATATTTTACTGATTACAATCTTCTGAATGCTGCTAGAGAGATAGATAGATAAGTGTATTTATTTATATTTTAATATTGAGCTCTCTAAGAGCATTATACAGAAAGAAGATGCGGAGAGAATTACACAACAATAAATAAAAAAATTAATAAAAAAGAAAAGGAAGAATGTATAGAAGGAAAATAAAATAAATATATATAAAGAGAGACAGAACGAGAGAGAGAGAGAGAGAGAGAGAGAGAGAGAGAACAGTCTGCAGAAAGGAAATTCTAGAAAATTATTATGAGAAAATAAAACTCTCGAAAGCTGTTCTCGGGGAGTAAAAGACGCGGGAATGGCTGTTCGCGAGGAGAACGACGGCCGCTCTCGACGGAGTAAACTCACCGATGTTTACTTTGAGAAAAACGCGTTCGCACGTTCGATTTTCAATTCCTGTCCGGCACATTGCTGCCGTTCCTAACGAGTTTCTCTCGAAACTGATCTCCCCGCATGTGAGAGGGGAATACGCGGGCAATTCAACAGTCGACCTATTTCCTGTACTCATGCCTGTCATTATAATACCTACATCGTAGATCGACGTAGATTGCGAGTCGCGCATTTTTCTCCTCGCCTCGATCGTCGTGAAGCACACCACGATGATCGTGACCGCCGCGAGTTAAATTGGCGTGGCGACTTTTCTCCGCTGTAATTATAAATAGGATAGGAAAATGCGACGAGAGAGGGAAAGAGATATAAAGAGAGAGAGAGAGAGAGAGAGAGAGAGAGAGAGGACCCGGAGAGGACGTGGACAGTGCCCGAAGCGGCCCCGAGGATGTTTCAGGAATATCGAGGACGTAATTATCCCCGTAATTACCGAGCGCGGTCTTGACTCTTGAGCAGCTACGTCTCGGCGCGCTCGAAAGTGGGGGTAGTCAGTGGTTGGCCTTGTGCGGTAATTGTACTAATTATTACTGCCCTTCTCCCTCTCTTGCCCTCCCCCTCCCCTTCTTGCACCGCCGGTTTCCTCCCCTCGGCCGCCCAATTACCCCTGGTGGCCCGCGAGAGAACCCGGACTCGCGGAGATTTCAGAACCTCGTTTCTCGGAAAAAAATCTTTGTTAGCGCTCGAGAGAGAGAGAGAAAGAGAGAACGCCCGTGGGTCGTCGTAAAATTGACGGTGGGAGGTTTCTGGGAAATCGTAATTAATTTACGGCCGCATAAATTAGGGATAATCGGCAGGGAACTAGGCATGCAAGTGCTACAAGCCGAGAACCGGTGTGTAGTCGCGAGTGAAATTATTCGCGATGGCGCGATAGATCCCGAGGAGCAAAAGGAACTGAAGCCGTCCCGTCGGGAAAAACGTGTGACGATTTATCGCAAATTTAACTAACAGTTCTCGAAAGGTGAAATTAGGACGTCAAAGATGTTTCTTGAATTTCAGATTAATCCGATGAAAATACATTTTAGTCGAAGATGCGAAAGTTGTTCCAAGAGAGAAAAAAGAGATTAAAAAATACATAAGATAGCGCATGTATAGATTTTGATTTAATCTCTCGTGTAATTAAATAATATCGATAATTAACGGCCTCCACGAAACATCTATAATTTCGCAAATATGTATTTAAGGCACTGCATCTCATACATTCTATTGTAGAGATTAGGAATAAAATTTACTATAAAGCATTTTGATAAAACGCAGTGGTGATGAAGACTTTTCAAGGTCTGATACTATTTCAGAAACTTTTCATAAGTAAATGAAAAACTCAAAGGGCTTACAAGAAAAACTTATAAATAAATAAAAAGGAGTGACTGAAATGAAGCCCCTCCCTCCTGATATTCTTCAGCAACATTAATTTCTATATAAATCCGCCGCTGATTGAACAAGTTTGTAACTAGACATATTTTAAATATTTAAAATAGTTGTAGAATGAATTTAAATATTTAAATATATTTAAATATAAATATTTAAATATTTAAATATAAATATACATAGTATCACGAGTATTATTATAAATTGTAAATTTTCCATTGTTATATTTTCAAAACAAAATGGTCAATAATTCTGAAATTTTTGTATAATGTCTCCATATTATAGTCCTTAATATCACAGTAATTTTTCATAAAAATCCTAAATGTGATTTATTAGTAGAAATTAAAAATGGAAGTTAAAAATAGGAAATCAACTTCAGGAAATATGTATGTAAAAAATGTCATCTCCAGTTAGCGAATATCTCAACATCCGAATAGTCAATCATTTTCTAATTACGCCAATAATTAGGTCATATTTAAATCTATATACGGCACAAGTTTCAAAGAATTCTTAAAAGATTCACCTCATGCTACGACTACCTTAAAAAATCATGATGTACCGTATCGCCGCACGCTACGGTCCTGAGACCACTGACGTGACCCCAAGCGGCGGCACGGAGAGCGACGTCATGCGCACGGCGGGAGATAAGCATAGTCTGCGAGCTATCGCAGCAGAGCGGACGGCATAGACAATGGAACGACACACTTGTCGGACCGACGCGACAGGATGTGTGTGTGTGCGTCTATCTCACACTTTGTCAAATGACGCATCGCGCGTGCGCTCCGATAAGAACAAGTTATGTCACACAATTTAGCTCGTGCCGTAGGTCGCATCGCCCGATGAGTATGAGGACGACCTGTCGAATGTTCCACTCACCCTGCGCTTGTCGTAGGCCGCCAGCCACTCGTCGGCTTTCCGCTTGTCGTACAACACCCTGGCGAGGCTGCCATGCGGCCGGTAGCTCTGTACGGAGGGATTCGCGGCACCGTCGCGGCGGTCCGCGAGGCTGCCACTGCAGGTGTTGTCTTGACAGCCGTAGGTGCACCTGGCGATGGGCTCGTCCGCTGCGCCCGCCATGCTTGCCGCGAATAGCGCCAAGCCCGACGAACGAACGCTCGGTCAGCACTATGCGCGCATCGTTGAACACGTGACGTGTTCTCCGGTCGCATGAATCACGACGAGCGTATCTGTCGATCACGCCCGTCGCCCGCTGATGCACGGCCGAACGACCGGACGCCTCGGTCCGCGTAAACACTCCACTCAACACGTGGCCATATTGCGACACTGACGCCGCGCGGCGACCGTCTGAAGTTCGCCGATGGTGCCGGCAACTAACCGACTGGCCGGTCGATCGATCCCTACTCTGCGATTATCGAGGCGCGCGCTTGCGACTAACGTCATGATAGTTCGAATCCGACATGGAGACCATTGGCGGTCGAAGTGGTCTCCGCTCATTTAATTAAATGGTATTGAACGTCTCAACATAAGTATTTTCGTACATACATAGTCGAGTATGACCGCATACATGAACGTAGGGAAGCGAGCGAATCGGAATATAATGTAAGTAGTCGTCACTAGTGTATCCAGCTTTGATATTTTTTAACGATGGTCGAGACAGAGGGGGGGGGGGGGAATAAGTCGTTTCATGTATCTTATTTGTTCTTGTAGTCAACGGAACTGAGGATAATTACATGAATGTTGATCGTGATTCTATAATAGACTGTTTACGCAATACTTGATGAGAATGGATATATGATGTCAAGTATTGAGTTAAGTTAGCATAAAGTGGCCAGATCGTTGTATATTTTCATGACTGTTAAAATCGGCCATTTGCCGCGTAATAGCTAATTCATTCGTTTGCAAAACGGTCTGAACACTTTTTCTTCGAAGCATTTCGAGACGTATTCGACGTTCAGAGAAAGAGAGAGAAAGAAAATTTATCTTCTGAAAATTCACCAATATTAAAATCATTGCAATTTTTTTACAATAGAGAGTAAAAGAATAAATAATGTCAGCAGATATTTCTTCGTTTTTCTAAAAGTACTGATACTTTTATGGACTTCTGAGCACAAAACAATCGGTATTTTTTTTATAATAGACTACATTTTATTAAGTTAATTTTATAAGCAATCAACTTTTAACTTAGTTAAAAATAAAAATAGCTTACTCAACTTTGAATATATATATACATACATAATGCATATATGATAGTCAAATGATTGATTTCAATTATTTTATCAATAAAAATTGTTCTTGTTCCACGCAACAGTATATTATATAGCCGCAGAAAACTTCATTCTAATTAATCCGTCAGTTATTTACTCATCTGCTAATATTTTCCCGGCCTTAATGAGATTTAGTTCAAAGTAACCATGTTCTAAAATAAACATTTTGCGATATCGTTAAAACGAAATGCATGGCCAAAAAAACCTTTGCACCAACTTGGCCTCCCCTACTGGCTTCTGTAATACTATATATTGAAATACCTCACCGACCGCGAAGCGTATAAAATAATAATCGGCCACGGTCGATTTTCACGATCGGTCAAAATTTTCACAAAGCGCACGCCTCGCTCTGAAAACTATCGCACAAACGCGGCTTACATATCTTTCGTATTTTTTATCGTCCAACGTCCTCCCTCGGAGGAAGTTACCGCGGATGGGCATAAAACTTTTAGGCGGGATAAATATGGCGCAGGGAGAGTTCTCGGCGCACCGGTGCGCGTCGGATGAATATTTTAGACGCCACATTGACGCATCGCGCGCGATTTGCTCTCTCGTTCTTACTTCCTCTTTCTCCCGCCCGTACGCTCTGCCCGCGCTCGCGCGCCCTGATAATTCATTAATTTATGATAAGCTCGGCCGCCGCCCACGGGCCACGTCCTCCCCCTCCACGCGCCATAAATCATTTTCGCGTCTGACATTAATTGCGCGCCACCCCTCGTTACCGGGAGAAATGAGATTTTTTTAATTGGCGAATTTTTCACCGCCGCTGACACCCTACCACCCGCTCCCGGATGCTCTACGGTCCTCCTTGGTACCTCGTAATACGTACCGGGCGAGAAGAAAGAGCGAGATATGGGGGGTAGGGGAGGTGTATAATGGCTTTCTTAAATTTGACAACGATACGTCGGCAACACTGAGGTGTTCTTTGTCCTGCGAATCGACGTGTGTGTTCCGTAGCGATCGCAAAAGAGAAAAAATAAATTATGTTCGTTCAAACGTTGATTTCTTTTTCTCGCGAGACAAATTTTTATGTCGCATTAACGCTCAACGCGGATCGTCGCAGTTGATTCCCCAGGTAAAATAACAGGTCTCTTTTGAGAAACGTCTAAAAAAGCATTTTGTCGGATTTAAGCTACAGAATCAACTTTACCGATTCTGCAATAAAACTGCGAATGTAAGTCCGTGAAATTTTGAAGGATGAGTTTATTTATTTTCCCCCGACCTTGCCGAGGATACATTTGGACGTGTCCGACAATTTCGAACGTCTAAATGTATGGCACATGTGGCCGCGGGAGAAAACACCGCATACCATTGCTTTTGTGGCGCATCCCTGCGTCACGATTCTCCGATCGAGGCGGTTGAAAATCCTAGTGCGCGCGGGACAATCGAGAATTAGGATATCTTGTTAACAGCCGGGCCATTAAATTGTTTTCTCAAAGCTGAAATCACCGATACCATCGCTGGAGGCAATTCTGCGGACTTGGTTTTCGCACGTTAGAAATTTCCATGTGCGCGTAAAGTGGAAATCACGGGAGCGGCGAATCAAAGACACTTCTGCGAAGTCTCATCTCGAAGCATCGTGGACATTCCTGTCTACGTCCGGCTTCCCTCGGAAGGGCCTTAACTCGATAAGTCCTCTCGGTACCTGAAGTGAGCTCATAATCGTGAACGAAGCGCGCAACCGCTTATTACAAGCGAGGGCATTGTAAATTTGCGGGGAAGAAGCGAAGAAGCGCAGAAGTGAGAGCGGACGTAGCCGAAAGTGAGACAGAAGCGAAAAGCGAGAGAGAGAGAGAGAGAGAGAAAGATAGAGCAGTCAGAAAGGAGCAACTGAGACAGAACGATAGGTATGTCAAGTAAGACAATAAGAGAGAAAGATACCAAGAGGGGGGAGAGAGAGAGGAAGAGGGTAGAAGGGCCAAGTTAGGGGAAAACACAAGATGAGGGAGGCAAAGAGGAGCCGAAAGGACAAAGCGGCGCAAAACGTGCCCCTCAGGCATCTAAAGTCTTCCTTCAGCGTTGAAAATTTATCGTTCTACAAGCGCCGGCGAGCAGAAAAATAGCGGGGGTGGAGAGCGAACGAGAAAGAGAGAGAGAGAGAGAGAGAGAGAGTGAAGGACAAAGAGGAGGGGGAGGAAAGGGAAGTGAGTGTCGAGGAGGTACGGACGCGCGCATTTTGTTCCATTTATCCCGGCAAATCCAGATTTTGCGCCGCAAAGCCGGCGTTTAAAATAATGAGGATATTTTCTCCTTTTTTGCCGCGCGCATAATTAACGATACGAGCGTGTAGAAAACGCTAATTAGCCTCGAGTGCGGAGGTGCGAGCCGCTATTACGAAACGAACGCGCCTATAAATGCATTCGCGCGCACGTGTGTACACGTTCAATGACTTATCGTGTCCGTAATTGTGCGGTTCGAATCGTGTCTCGCGTAAGCTTGTCTGCGCGTTCGGCGCGTACACGTCGGGGCGATATTCCGAAAGCGGTAAAACGGTTTAAATTTCAGGTGAGCACCGGGAAATAATTTAATTATGCGCGACTACCGATAGCGGAGTGACGCGATAATAATTTGACGTTTAAAAGCGGGCGCTCGAGCGACGTGTGTCCCGATGCGAGAGTGTTTCTCAAGGGCTATCCGTCGTGAGTGAATCTCTCTCGACGGGGACGTGACCTTATCTCGTGTCCGTGAGGTAGAATTTGACGTTCAGTTACGTTAATACGTGATAACAATTGCGAGATTATTGGAAGACGCGCGATTTTACACGTCGCGTTTATCGTGCGATGTACCTGTAAATTAACGAATCTCGTGTTCTTTCTCACGATCTTTCCTCTCCCGCGATAACACTCACAGTGACTCTCCCAGTCGAGATTGTTATTTAGTATCGCGATGTTTCTTAATTATTAATCGTTGAGCGCGCGATTACGTGTTATCTCTAATGCAATCCGTATGATTAGATGCCAAATTATAAACCGTGTTTCAGAAATCTCACGTGAGGAAAAAGCTGGAAACGCTAAATGCATTGGGAATAGAATAACTTATGTATGCATATAAGGAAAATTACTACACGATATAGCAATTAAGGAGCGATTATTACTAACGTACACGCTGAAAGTATTACATCATACCATAATTATATAGCGCACCTCAAGTCAAATGATCCATGAAAGGACCACACAGATATTTTACTACCATTTGAAACTATTTTGTGCTCATGCTCCGCGCGCTTGCATCATGAGCACGCGATACTCCTGAGAGAAAAAGAGAAGCAAGAAAGATATTTTTATATCAAATTTATACTTTCACTTGTGATCTGAGATTCGTTACAAGCATAATATCGAATTATTACCCCGATTTTTATTTATTGATGCTCACATTTTTCGGAGCAGCACAGACGCGGCAAATTATCCGATCAATCAATTGCGCAGTTCAATATTAATTCCTCTTAATTACTAAAAATTATCCTTGAATAACATGTGATTTATTTTTATATAGAATGGAAGTATATAGAATTTCTTCGTAAGTATTATTTCCATATAATATCATATGAAAATAATATTATATATATATATATTCTCACTTGTATATAAGAATATGAATCTTGGCTTGATAGCAATTTTTTCCTTGTATATGCTGACACTTCTAATCTTTCGGCCATTACGGTTTCTGAAAACTCGGCTTTGGAATCCCCCCGACAACCAATATTTCGCAGAGTTGTACGTAAATTATACCACCAACATGCAGATGTAACTCTAAGGGAACATATATATGCAATTCTGAAGGAACAGAGATAGGGCGAGAAAGATAGATGAGCCGCCTCTTAGAATCAATTAAAGGTGCTCGCATAAGCGTCTCTCCGATCGGGAACCGTCCGTGCGTCCGTCCATCCGTGCGAGAAGCGCAGCCTCTTTGTTTCTCGTTTCGCGACTGGCATCTCGCGCCCCTTCCATCTACCGGTCGTCCGTGGTCCGCTGCTGATTACAGGGGAAGAGGCACCGAAAAGAGATTCACGCACCGATCCCCGCTGTTTCTCTCTCCGTGTAGCGGT